GTCTCTTGAGTGCAAATCTTGATTTCTTTGAGGAAGAATTTCTGTGTCTGGGAAAAAAAAAATTAGTCGCTCAGTCTTGTCTGACTCTTTGCAACCCCATGGACTTGTAGCCCATCAGGATCCTCTGTCCATGGAATTCTTCAGACAAGAATACTGGAGTAGGTAGCCATTCCCTTCTCCAGGGCATCTTCCCAACCCAGGGATCGAACATAGGTCTCCTGCATTGCAGGCTGATAGATTCTTAACCATCTGAGCCGTCGGACAGTGTCCCCATGTCTGAAAGGGAACCACAACAAAGACTTCTTCCAGTCACAATCACAATGGATCTGAGCATCCATTCCCTTAGGACCCCTACCCCAGCAGGCCCTTGCGTGCTTTCTCTAACATGCCTTACCTCCCAGTGTTAGCCTCCCTCAATGGGGACCTCACTCCCTGCCAAGCTGGACCCCTGAATCTTGGACCAGCTGGAAGATCTTTCTTCCCAAGGAGCTGGACCCCCAACAATTTCTGATTGCTCTACCCACTGCTTCCAGTTTTCCAGGAGCACTGATCATCTTCAAGTGCTTGAGATGCAAAAGTGCCTTGAAAATGTCACAGTGGTAGTGGGGTGACCTGAAAACCTGATCTCCTTCCCACCTTGCCCAACTTCCAAGGCCTTCCTGACTTCGGGCTCCTCCAGCAGTCCAGGTTCCAGCTCCCTCCCTCTGCAGTTGCTTCTTTAAGAAGCATCATAGGAACTGGTCCTGCTACTGTCCTTGGATCCTGTCCAGGACCCTGATTTAAAAGGTATTGCAACGGTTTAAAAAAAAAAAAAAACAAATATGTGCTGTAACCCAAGGCCCTGGTAACCACAACACTGCCGGCTGCTACAGCCGCCTCCTAGGCGAGAGGAGAGGAAACTGCTCCCCGCCTACCCGCCTACTCGGGGCAGACACTCCTGCTCAGCCTCCGTGCAGCTCCCGCCTCCCTACCATATTATCTCTGGCTGGAAGCTCAGCGGGGGCGGGACCTGAGCCAGACCTGGGGGCTGCAGGCCTTCTGGACCCAAGTGCCTTTGGGAAGCGCCCCCGTTCCTTCCTCAACAGTTCCAGGAGCTGTTTGAGAGTTTTGGAAGAGCACTTTCTGTCCGATCTCCACCTGAGCCCCTAGAGTGACCGTGAATAATAACACCGATCCGATTGCGCCACTCCCACTGCCCACATGATTAAGTAAGAACTTCTTGGCCAAGATTTCAATGTTCTCTGATCTCTCACTGTCCCCCGCTCTCGCGGGACCCACGCAGAGCAGCTGAGCCCCTCTGAAAACCCACCCAGCACTGTGCACTGGGCGCACATGCTCTTCCCCACTTTCTTTTCATTTTATACATGTATAGATTGCAAAATAATCAGCACAATAAGGTTAGTTAACACGGCCATCTCCTCACAGAGCTATACTTCCCCACTTTTTTGATAAGAAGAATCCCTGCTTAGTCTACATAGCTCTAGTCAAATGTGACATCCCTGGGGAAGCCTGCCCTTCCTTTTCCTCCCAGATAGTGTTGGTTACTCCTTTTGCTTCCATGGTATTTTTCCATACCCCTTGTTACATTATCTGCCTACCTAGACTAGAAGAGATGTAACCGCCTGCAAATATTCTCTTTAGTTTGCTTGATGGTGTGTGAGAGAGAGAGAGGAAAGGAAAACCAGATTTTAAAAATACACCAAGATTTCTGGTTTCTCTTGAAAAGTTGGAAGGTCAGGCGAGCTTGGGGTTTCATTTCCTTCTAACACCATCCACTGCAATACATCCACTTGTGCTTCTTTTAGAGGGGTATGTGGTCCCCAGTTTACACCCCATCCCTATCTTATGCCTCCCGTCATTCATGTACCTTCCCAGTCTTGTAGACAGGTTTTAAGCCTTGGAGCTGGATCATACCTCTCATAAGTTCTGGGTTACTCCTGTTTACAAAATATTCTGCCTCCTTGTCCCCATAAACTATTTGGATGCCCTAGAAATTCCAGTATGTTGGCAAAGAGTAAGTGAATAGAATCAGGTTAATAAAAAATGTACATGTCACAAACTCCTTTACTAAATCATGTGTTCCAGTTTTTTACTTAGAAAACAGTCCCTGCTTCATCATCTTCCAATTCTCGCTCTTGTTATTTCCCTGTGAGGAAGATGCTTCTGTTGGAGTTGAGCAAGGAAGGAGGCATCAGGGCAGATTTTCCAGGAAGGAGGGATTTAGGGCAAGTTAACTGTTAGAAAAGGCTTGCTTAAATTTTGATTACATAGCAGGTGACATAGGTGAGAATATATGGAAAGTAGGACACACTCATGGACTCAGCCCTGGACCCCACTCAATCTCTCATCTCTGAGCCCATTAAAAAATGGATGTTAGAAAAAAAAATGGATGTTAGGAAGACATAAGGTTGAAAGCAGTTCAAACATAAGAACACATCAGAATTATCTGGAGGATTCATAAAACACAGATTCCTGGGTCCCCTACCCAGAATTTCTGAAGCAGCTGGTCTGGGCTGGAGCCCCAAAATTTGTATTTCTAACCATTTCCCAAGAAATGCTGATGCTTCTGATCCCCAGACCACATTTGAGGACCACTAATGTAAAAGGCCTCTTGATGAAAGTGAAAGAGAAGAGTGAAAAAGTTGGCTTAAAGCTCAACATTCAGAAAACTAAGATCATGGCATCCGTTCCATCACTTCATGGCAAATAGATGGGGAAACAGTGGAAACAGTGTCAGACTTTATTTTGGGGGGCTCCAAAATCACTGCAGATGGTGATTGCAGCCATGAAATTAAAAGACGCTTACTCCTTGGAAGGAAAGTTATGACCAACCTAGATAGCATATTAAAAAGCAGAGACATTACTTTGTCAACAAAGGTCCATCTAGTCAAGGCTATGGTTTTTCCAGTGGTCATGTATGGATGTGGGAGTTGGACTGTGGAAAAAGTTGAGCACTGAAAAATTGATGCTTTTGAACTGTAGTGTTGGAGAAGACTCTTGAGAGTCCCTTGGGCTGCAAGGAGATCCAACCAGTCCATCCTAAAGGAGATCAATCCTGGGTGTTCATTAGAAGGACTGATGCTGAAGCTGAAACTCCAATACTTTGGCCACCTGATGCGAGGAGTTGACATTGGAAAAGACCCTGATGCTGGGAGGGATTGGGGGCAGGAGGAGAAGGGGATGACAGAGGATGATATGGCTGGAAGGCATCACCGACTCGATGGACATGAGTTTGAGTAAACTCCGGGAGTTGGTGATGGACAGGGAGGACTGGCGTGCTGCGATTCATGGGGTTGCAAAGAGTTGGACACGACTGAGCGACTGAACTGAACTGATGTAAAAAAAAGGGGGGGGGGTTGTTACTGTTCATTACTAGAAGCCTCCAGAACCTAGAGCCCACTTAAAGAGGCGATGTATATTAATAATTTTCCCTAGAATCCCTTGGTGATGCTCTGTACCCTCCTACTGTGCATCACCAAGGAAGCTCCTTGAGGTCCCTTGAGAACCTCCATCCAAACTTCATCAAACAGAGAAAGCAGTAACCAATGATGATTGCTGTTGTTTAGTTACTAAGTCATGTCCAATCTTTTGCAACCCCGTGGACTGTAGCCCTCCAGGCTCCTCTGCCCATAGGACTTCTCAGGCAAGAATATTGGAGTGGGTTGCCATTTCCTTCTCCAGGGCATCTTCTCACCCCAGGGATCGAACTTGCTTCTCTTGCATTGGCAGGCGGATTCTTTACCACTGAACCACCAGGGAAGCCCCTAAACAATGATTATGGCATGAAATCATTCTTGGTTTAAAGGAAGCGGTAAAGTGAATCTTGTCGCCTCTCCCAAGGAAGCGCCAAGTCCCAAACCACTGGTCTTCTGGGAAAATAGGCAGGGATGGCTTCTTGCTAATTATCATTACTCAGGCTCACTTCTCCTTTCCAAGAACCTCCCCATTAATTCAGTTCAACCCAACTCAGTATGATTAATGTAGCAATTTGATTCCCTGGAGAGATGACCCACCACAACCACTGAAGCAATAAGGTTCAAATTTTAGTGTGTAAATTCCTCAGACTCAGCCCTGCAGGTCCTGACTGAATAGATGGCAAAAGGACCCAGATGATTCTGTAGCACACGAATCTGCCCACGCCTTGAGAAACACTCCAATAGAAGCCTAAGAATTCAACAATTTTAGGACCCCTCTCATTTATTTCTCTTACATATATTTCCAAGAGGAAGCTGTCAAAACTAACATTTCTGTCGACAGTCTGGCAAATCAAGGATACCTTTCTCAGCAGAGCCTCCTGTTCTGCCCCTAGAACTGAAGCTGGGGTCCATGCAGTATCTCCAAGAGTAAATTATTCTAATTAAATTCAATATAACAAACTTTAATTAGTGACTTATGAACTGATTAGAAATGGCATTCTACTGCAGAATCTCAGTGGCAGTAGCTTAAACAAATATGCTATTTATTCTATTATGTGATAATATTAGGAAGGAGTTGATCAAAGCTGGTCCTGAGGCATCAGTTCAGAGATCAAGGCTCCTTCCACCTTTTTGCTCAGGGTAATAAAATGGCTTCTGTAATTCAGCCATCATGTCTGTATTCCAGGCAGGAAAAGCAGGGGGCAAGGAAAGGGGAGTCCTGCCCCCAGCTGAGTCATTCTTCTATTACATGTTTTCCTGGAAGCTCCAACCAGTAATGTCCCCTTACGTATCACTGACTAACTGAGTAAGTAGCGTGTTCTCCTGGCATACTGCTGACCCAGAGAATATCAGGATTCTGTCACTAAGGAAGGAAGAAGAATGGATGTTGAGTAAGGTGACTAGAAGTCTCTGCCACGACCTACTAAGGACCAGGGGGTGTGAGGAAGGAGGAGGCAGAGCTGTGTAACCTGTAGTCCATTAAGGAGGACTCACAAAGCTCACAAACAAGAGAGTTGTAGGACAGGAGTTGTAGGGCTTTTGGAAGAAGAGGGGATTTGAGCCGCTTCCTGATGTGCAGGTAGAATGATAACCACACAGATAGATGGTGAAGAAAGTCACTCCCAGCAGACAACATGTTTGGGAAACTACTTGCCCGGTCGGAACCCACACAGAGAAAACTTTCAGGGCGAGAATGTGTTTAGCGATCACTGCATTGAGAGGTACTTAACCTAGTATCCACACACAACCCCACTGTGTGTGGATAATTCCCATCAGTCTTTCCAGTCTTTCCCCAGAATTGTTCACCCCAGCCTCAACTTTTGTTCCTTCACACCAACTTAGTCACCAACACACTCCTCCTTCCCCAGCTCCCCAGCCTCCACATTTATCCTGACTTGACCCATGCTCTTGATCCTCCCCCTTTTTTTCCTCTCTCTTTTTTATTTTTTAAATTATGAAAGTATGACAACACATTTACAGGAGGTTTGGAAAATACAGAACAGAGTTATTTATAGTTCCACTGTATATTACAGTTATTTTTAAGTAGATAAATTAAGATTTTTAGTTGAAGTTTTGATATCAAACTCTGAAAAAATAATAGAATGAATGTACAGAAAAGTAGAAGGATATAGTAGACCTGAAAAGCACTGTGAACCAATTCACCATAATTAAGAATTATACAATTTTCACACAACAGTAGGATACAAATTCTATTCATGTTCCCAAAGACTATAAGCTGATCCTCCCTTTTGGAATTACTCCTTCTTGCTTCTCCTCTTCCCCCTAGATATGGAAAATAGGTAATCACTGGAAGTATTTTAACATAGACTTCACAAACACAGTCAGAAGGGTAATTATAGAAGAGAAATTATACAAAAGATTTATCTGAGTTGCAAGCAATGAAAGCAAAGCATCAGATTCCATCTCAACCTGAGACTCTAGGATTCCTTTTGCCATGAATGCCTTTTGGCTTTAGTGTTTCTCCAGGAAATCCGCCTTCCCCATCCCCATCCACCATGGTCTCTTATCTCCTTTTAATTCTAACACTACCCACATGGATTATGCAACTTTACATTTGCTTTATAATCTGTTTTTATATTTTCCATCTTTTACTATGTATAGGTCTAATATCGAGAAAATAGATCATAACCAATTCAAGACAAAAACTGAGTCTTCTCTATGCCTTGCCACAGGGTGACCAACCATTCCAGAGTACCTAGTACTGAGGAGTTTCGTGGGTTGTGGGACTTTCAGTGCTACAAGTGGGAAATCCTGAGCAGATCAAGATGAGTTAGTCACCTGACTTGCCCAAGAAATGGGCACATCATCATATTTGCTTGTTGATTGCTGTCTATGATAGACATCTCTGCTGTTCACCAGTATTTCTGGTTCTCCTCTCCCTCGGGGCACACATTACACGTTTCCATCCCCTTGAAGTTACCCGTGGCCATGTGACTTGCTTTAGCCAAAAAAATGTGAGTGGACTTAATGTGTGTCACTCCTGAGTGGAAAGATTTAAGAGCCCATGCACCACTCTCCATATACTGTCTTCTCTTGACCTGAGAAACCGTGCAGCCGTGGTGTTGGGCTGGCTGCATCCTAGGGTGCTGCTGCATGTCTCTGTGAAGCAGAGCCCTCAGCCTCCCATACTGGATTCACATGGTATGAGCAAAAGTTAACTTCACTCATGATAAGTTGCTGAAACGTGTATGTTTTTCCTCACTGCAGCAAAACCTAACCTAACCTGACTGGCTCAACAACTTCTAAAAATCTCATTAGCATTATTCAAACTCTAATCTCTAAAGCAAAAAAAAAAAAAAAAATCCTTAGGGCTTCTTTCTCAAGCGGAAACTTCAAAGCATGTAGCCAAAAAGCTGGTTGTGTGAAAGTGGGAAATCTGAGCTAGGTCTCCCAAGACGTTTAAAGAAGCTGGAGGCAAGAGCTCCTGAGAACAGAGGCTTCAGAAACAGAATTTGCCTTCCTGGTTCCTACCTGCCAGCCCAAGTTATTGATTTCAACTCCTGATATTAAAATTGGAGATCCATTTTAAAAAGCTCAATTGTTTGATGTTCAGATGGGAAACTCTCCCAAAGGAGAAACAAGAGGTTCAGGATCACACAGGGCATTGCTAGTTATGATCTCTCTACACATTTTTGGTCCTGTTGGCCCTTTACATGGTTTTTATACCTAATTCATTCACAATCATTTTCTATTTCTTTGGAATTTCACATATTTATACTTACCACTTGCTGGTGGAAAACTAGTCTCAATCTCATGCCTGGGTTCAAAAGCATAGTTTTTAGAAAACTTTTTCTTGTATTATAGTAAGTGCTACTCATTTTTTCAAATATAAGAAAACGAATAATCAAAATCTCACCCTCATCTAGAGATAATCACTATTAACACTTTTAAATATATATATAAATTTATTTATTTATTTTTGGCTGCACAGGGTCTTAGTTGCTGCCCGTGGGCTTTCTCTAGTTGCAGTGCATGGGCTTCTCTTTGCAGTGGCTTCTCTTGTTGCAGAGCGGGGCTTTAGGGCTTGCAGTCTGCAGTGGTTGCTGTGTGGGGGCTCAGTAGTCTCGACTCTGCAGCTTAGTTGCCTGCAACTTGTGGAATCTTCGATCAGGGATCGAAGCATGTCCCCTGCATTGACACTAGACCACCACAGAAGTCCAACATTTTTTTTTTGTTTTTAATAAGAATGATTTTTTTTACATTTTATGACATTTTAAAACTTTATCCTTATCAGTATGTTAGCAGGTTGCATGATATTCTATCTTCATGGATATATCATAATTTATTAACCAAGCTCCTTTTCTTGGATATTTAGATTGTTCTAGTCTTTTGCTTGTTTGTTGGTTTGGCTTTTAGTAAGTCATGAGCATTGTTTCACAGTCACTGATAATTTAAGTAGACACTCTTTCCTCATTACCTGTTCAGCACGTTGTGCAGCGGTGATTCTCACACTTGAGCATGGCTCAGAATCACTGGGAGGGCTTGGGAAGCTAGAGGTTGCTGAGCCCCATCTCAAGTTCAGGATATGTAGGTCTGGATGGGGCCTGAGCTTTTGTATTTCTTTTTGTAAATATTTATTTCTGTTTATTTATTTAGCTGTGGTCAGTTGCAGTGCATAGGATCTTTAGTTGCAGCACACAGGATCTTTAGTTGCAGCATGCAAACTCTTAGTTTTGGCATGTGGGATCTAGTTCCCTGAACAGGGATCAAACCAGAGCCCCCTGCATTAGGAACATGGCGGGCGTCTTAGCCACTGGACCACTGGAAGTCCCGAGCATTTGTGTTTCTCACAAAGATCTCTGGTAGTGCTGATGCTGTTGACTTGGAGGCCACACTTTGTGAATCACCGTCTTCTATTATTCTTCTTTCCAAGGACCTAATATCACCTGTGTCCTCAGTTTCCTTTCTTGGGACCTACTGTGATTGGTCTACTCTGGAGAGGAAGTTCTTTTGCAGTCTCACATTCTTTTTCCATTCCTGACTGTAAGTCCCTTTCATCAACACATCTTTCCAAGTGTCTCTGGGCTGTGTATAATTTTCTAACATACACACTCACAGTGACTTTCAAAGTTGCCCTGCATTGCCACTCCCAGAAACCTCAGCTAATAACAAAGCAAGGGTAAACTAAAAGTTCTTTTTCCTAGGCTCTGACATTGTGTGTCCATTATTCTCCCTGCATCCGCCTATCTACCTCACAGAGTTGTTGTGATTGGTAACCTCTATTCAAAATGGATACAGTAGAATATTACAGATGAGTGTGAGCTGGAAAGAGTTATGGACCCAGAGTGAACGGTCATTACAATTAATTTTCATATTATTATGTATTTGCAGGGAAATGGCTGAAAGCTTAGGTTCTGGAGTTAGAACTGGTTTTTATCTGGGCTTTGGTCCTGACTAGCTACGTGCACGTAAGCAGATCATATAACTAAGACTCGTTTTCCTCACCTGTAAAGTGGAGGAACTAATAATACCATTGTGGCAAGGAGATGGCAAGAAATAGAAATAATATGTGCAAGGAAGCCAGGACAGAAACAACTCTTGATAAATGATAGCTATTGTGTTTACTAAATAGTTATTTTAATTTTTTTCCTAGCCTTTTCTCTGCTGCGAGTCTGGAAAGAAATCCATTGCTCATTGGAACCTTTTCGGCCCTGACCCGAGTTTTCTGTCATTTACTAAGTTTCTGATCACCTGTCTCAGGCGGCAGCGCGGCGAGCCCCACGGGTTTCCCTGAGGCCCTGCTTTTCGGTTATTTACGGCACGCGGCCGCCCCAGCTCCGGCTCAAGTCTGCGCTTCCAGGTTCAGTTTCAGGGTCTCGCCGGCTGCCCCGGCCGGCGGGCGCCGTGCGGGCAGCGGGGCTCGGACGGCAGGGATCTCTGGGGGCCCCAGAGTTGGGAGGCGGAGTCCGGGAGCCCCCGGAGGAGGATGGGCTGCGGACACAGCAGACTGAGTTGCTGCAAACCCCCCAAAAAGGTAAAGGGCGCCAGCGGAGAAGTTTGACTTCAGAAAGGAAGGCGGGTGCGGAACCGCTCCGCCGCTGGGGACCTAGGGCGCCCCGGGTCTACTGGGGATGCCGGGCGGTGCACGCTTAGAGGCCGGCAGGCAGGGAGGCGGGTAAGGTTCGGCCGGGCGGCTCTCTCTCCCTGACCCAGGGCTGAGCCACGCGGGGCAGCCGAGTTTACAAACAGAGTCCCGGGGCCGGGACAGGCAATTGATTCCAGCTGGTGGAGGTGGGAAACGTCTAGTAGTAGCTGTAGCAGGTGCCCTTTTCCGTTGGTCAGGGCCTGCTCGCTGTGTGGCCATGGACGTGTGACTTGACCTCTCTGGGCCTTTAGCTTTCCTACCATTAAGAGGCAGATTCTAGGGCCGCTACTTGCACGGCAGAATGGCCCACAGATTTACATCATCGGCATCACCTAGGACTTGCAGAATCTCGGGCTGTGTTCCAGACGTGCTAAAATGGAACTTGTCTTTTAATAAGATGCCCAGGTGACTACAATACGCTGTAAAGTTTGAGAAGCGCTGCTCTAGAGCCTCTTCAGGCCCTAGAGCCGGTGCATGTGGGCTGTCCTCGGGGGAGCTGGGAGGGGCCAACCAGGGAGGAGATTCGCGGCCTTCTGCTGCCTTTCCCTCCCTTCCTGTCGCTCCCCCCAGGGGCCTCCGAGCTGGGTTAGGGCCCAGGAGACACTACTCCGGTTTCTGGCAGTGGGACCAGCTGCCCCTTGGGTTCTGACAAACCCAGAAGGTCAGAGCCTGGAGCCAGAGGATAACCTGAGGCACAGAGAGCCAAGGGTGGACCCTCAAGTCCTGAGCCTTCTTCCTACTACTGCCCGCCCTCCAGTCACGTGGGAAGAGGTGGTCCTATGAACTTGATGATCAGTCCCCTGAGGCCCCGAAGGGCCCCCACACTGTGACACTATTCAGTAATTTTTCACTTAATTTGAGCCTCTGCTGCTTTGCTTGCACCAGAGCACAGGCTTTTCTGCCTGTTGAGCATGCAATACTGTCCCAAACCTGGATGATTCTATTTCTGCTCTGTGCCTAGTCCAGGGAGAAGGACTTTTGTCCTAAGTACAGTGCCTTCCCCCCTATCCTTGCTCCTCCTTAATTCCCAGTTCAAAATACCTCATGGAGCTCTGACTCAGAAACCTTCCTGTCTTCCTGCTTCCAAGAGGGAAACTGAGGCTTGCCTCTATCCGTGGAAGCAGAAGTCTGGCTGATGGGATAATGAACAGATAAGCCTGAGACCTGCCTGAGACTTATAACAAAGCTGGTGATCGACTCTCAGTGTTAATCCTGGCCCTGCCACAGACATGCCCGAAGTGCTGTCTGTGCCTCAGTTTCTCCCTCTATATGGACAGGGAGGGCTTTGAGCAGGATGATTTCTAGGAGTCAGAGAGCCTGTGTTCTCTGCACCTGTGTTAGCTGCTCAGCTTGCAAAGTCCGCCGAGGGTAAATTCCATCTACTCGGTGGCGGGAAGAGACTGGAGTGGCCCTGTTCCAGGCCTTGAGTCTTCCGTAGTCTGGTAAAGGAGCCCACAGTGAGCAAGGATTCCCCTGCCTGTCTGAGAGCCTTGCCAGCTGTCCCTGTCCATCCCTGGCACAGCCTGAACTGGACCCCCTGTCCCAGGCTGTGAAGGAAGGGCAAGTGCAGTCAGCAGAGACTATCCCAGTGGGAAAGGACCGTGGGTACCACCTGTGCCGATGCACGCAACATGCAGCTGGGAGGTTAAAGCCTGGAGGGGGAAGGGTCTTGACTGATTCAGAGAACAACTTAGAGCGGAACCCAGATGCCCAGTCCCCAAGCCCAGTGTCCGTTGTCTCTGCCCCTCCTCGGTGCTTCCAGGGGCTTCTTGTTGATTCCAAAGCCCTTTGGCATTAAAGCCTTTGCCCTGTTGCCTCAGAGCAGCCTGGCTTGCCTTTCTGCCCTGGCAGTGCCAGGCTCCTGCCCCTGAGTGGCAGGATTTATGAGCTGATTTTGCTTAAAGTTCATGCTAGTTTCCGTCCCTCTGTGCTATGCTCCTGCCCAGTTTCTCATCCAGGTGCCAACCCCGAAAAGGTCTGAACTTCCAAGCTCGCCCCCAGCAGGCTGTCAGCCCCCTAGGAGAGTGGGAACCTCTGAGGATGGGATGTACGAAAATGAGCTCAGACCCCAGGAGGCTCAGGTCACGACAACAATGACTCACCGTGAGTGGCAGTTTACAGAGTACTTTCACATCCTGCCGACCTCACTAAAGCCTGGAAGTCAGGCTGAGCTGTGGGGTCTTCTCCACTTTATAGATGAGGAGACTGAGGTTCAGGGAGGAGTGATGTTATTCAGTAGGTTGCTGGCCAAACCATGCAGTGGAGCCTGGTTTTTCTGCCCTCCTCGTTGGTACTTGCTGCCATGCACAGAGCCTAGAGCTGGTGCCTCCTAAATACTTGAGTGTGAGTGAGGGCCACACCAGAGCTGGCCTGGAAGTTAACCCAGAGTGCCGCAGGAGTATCTCATCTAGCTTTGAGAGATACAGGACGGCTTCTTGGCTGAGTGCTGGGCATGCCTTGGCTGGGTGATGAAGGTTTGGTAGGAATGACCCGGTTGAGGCAGAGAGGACAGCCTGAGTGGAGGCTGAGCCAAAGAAGCAGAGTGATGGTGCTGGTTGTGGAGAGTGGGAGTGGCCACCCGTGAGGAATGAGGCCAGGGCTTTCAGGGGGGACTTCCCTGGCTAGGGATAGGGGCTTTACCTCTAGAACTTCTCAAGGTCCCTCCCAGGGGCCAGACCTAAGTGTTTGCTGAGTCCTGTGGTTGGCAGTGCCAATAGCCTTAGCTGGCAAGCTGTCCTAGACCCCACTGAGAGACCTGACCTGGGGCCAAGTGTTACTGGGACTTTTGGTAACAAGTTGAAATCCTGGTGAAAAAAATGAGTGGAGATCCCTAGCAGGCTGGGTGTAGATACTGAAGAATCTCTGCATGATGTGGTCCTTCCTATATCCTTTTTGACAAAGACTATGGCTGTTGTGGCCACATCAGGAAGATGTGGGAGAAGGCCAGACAGAGAGGGGCGGGGCCAAGGAAACAAGCCCTCCGTGGACTTGCCTATAGGATGACATGGGGGTTTTTAGGGCCCTTCCATCCCCCAAAAGTTACCAGCCCCATCTGGGCCAAGGTGGGAAGGGAGCCCTAGCGCCTCATGGTCAACCCTCTGATTGTGTGCCTCGTGTGACCCAGGGTTCAGAGCTTTGGCTCTGGCCCCCATGCCACAGCCCTGAGTACCACACCTGAGACCCTGGCTCAGTACTGCTCCCACAGCAGGGCCTCGGGCAACAGGTTCTCTGGGGTCAGTATCCCTTCATGAGCGCTTCCAGGTAGCAGGCCAGGTGAGAGAGGCAGAGATACAGAAGTGAAAGTCATGGAAGAGTCTGGCATGGGCACAACTAATTCTAAAACAAAACCATAGACACTAAGGGCATGGGCTTTAGAACTGGGTCCACATATTCATTTATTCACCAGGAGCATCCTGGTGGCTCAGTGGTAAAGAATGCCTGCCAGTGCAGGAGACGCAGGTTCAATCCCTGGGTCAGGAAGATCCCCTGGAGAAGGAAATGGCAACGCGTTCCAGTATTCTTGCCTGAAAAATCCCATGGACAGAGGAGTCTGGGGGGCCACAGTCCATAGGATTGCCAAGAGTTGGACACTACTGAGCACATTCATTTATTAACTCTGCTCTCCAGACTCTGGGCCAGGTGCCACTTCAGTCCTAGCACCATTGTGGATCCATTAAATGACCCTGGAAGGAATTTGGGTTTTCCATGCCTCAATTTCCTCATGTGTAAAATAGACGTGATATAGCTCCTGAGTCATAGGGTTCTGAGATTAGATGAAAGAATGCATGTGATACAGTCCCTGATATACTGACTGGTTAGCAGGGAATGTCGGTGAGGGACATCACCACCTGGATTGTACCCAAGGAAAGCAAACAAGGATGCGGGAGAAGGGGGCCATGAATGTACTTGGAAGGCCATTTGGGGTTGCAAGCATAAAGCTTGGAGCCTGGCCACTGCCTTCCAGCCTCTGAAGTGTTGTCAAGCGGCAGGGAGTGCAACCTGGTTCTCTGTTGACCCCAAAATGCAGACTGTGGCCAGTGAGGGGACGCTAAGGGGAGCCAGATTCTACTTCTCACCAGGAAGAAGGGTAGTGAGTTCCCCATCCTGGAGGAGTTCAAGCAGAGGTCAGATGTGATTGTGACAGAAATAGAAGTGTGGGGGCGGGGAGTAGAAGAGGTGTTGCAAACCCAGGACTAGGAAATACTAAGATTCCACTTGACACCTAATTATTGTGATTATTCATAATGTTTGAGGCAAAATTTAGAATTTGGTAAAATATAAAGAAATTTTAAAATAGTTTTTAATCCCACCATGAAGAGATCGCCTCTGTGTACACTTCATTCTTTCTTCTCTTTTCCTCACTTGTATGCCCTATGTGAGTGTGACTATTTTTGCAGAACTAGGGATATATTTTAAACAATTATATTCTATTAATAGTTATTGGGGTGCCTAAAAAGGTTTTTAACATCTTACAGAGAACCTGAACAAGCTTTTTTACCAACCCTACCCCAGGGACAGGGGAGCCTGGTGGGCTGCCGTCTATGGGGTCGCACAGAGTCGGGCAGGACTGGAGTGACTTAGCAGCAGCAGCAACAGCATACTTAGTATTTTGCTGGGAGCATTCTCGCATGTTAAAAGTCTGTGGAAATGTGATTTTTAATGGCTGTCTAAGGTTCTGTGGATGTTCTGTGGCTTTTTTACCCAGTTTGGACACTTGGTTATTTACATTCTCCACTCCTACCCTTGTTATTCATGAGCATCCTTGTGTTTCATCCTAATCCTGGGAGAGTGTGCCTTTTTGTTGGAGGGAAGAGGTGGGGGGAGAGAAGGCCTCCAGAGAAGAGATGGCATCTTGGCTGGGTTCTGAAGGTGGGTGAGAGCCAAACACT